TTAGAAACCATGTTTTTTCTATATTCCATGAGTTTTGATTTATGTTGAAAGTTTCGTATCTGTTTTCCCATTTCCTATGCATTGCTTTTTCATATCCAGCTGCTGCCTTCTTATCAGCTCTGAAAGAGGTCGGGCTCTCAGCCAAAATTGTGAAATTGGGATAGCACAGATCATACCACTGAGATTTCCTCAACTGCAGCAGGAACAGATAGGATGCCTCCAGAGACATCTTAGCCCACCCTGACCTTTCCCACTGGTTTTTAGCAAGAAGCTGCAATGTTGAGCCTCCATAGCAATAGGGGTTTCTCTTTGTTAATCACACGAGTTTTTTTACCAACAGCTAGTCTGACTTTATCATTGTCTTGGACTTGTGGAAATACAGGGAATAATTAATTCTCCTTTCACGTCATATCTGTGCAACGTGATCTAATTGAGTAGGTTTTAGTTATTGCATCACATAGGGTCAAAATATCAAAACCACGTGAGAGATGCATGCAATAGCTGTTTAGACAGGTTTCCACATGCTTTAGTAACATGTGGCTCCCTCACATTTATTTTAATGGATAGTCAGCAATGTTTTCTGCTACAAACTTGTCTTTCTTTAATCCATGTTTTCTTGACCTGCCCTAAGAGTCATGCTTGTCTTTGATCTCTGTGAGTTTTAGCATAGTATCATGTTGCAATGGTGATTTAATTTAGCATGTAATAGGATGTACTTACATAGTTGCCTATCTCGATCTCCTGGAGAATGTTTCTTTCCTTACGCATTCCTGAAGCACTTCCTTAAGATGTTTTGCAATTGTTTCTTTAAAGTCTTTCCATATGGAGCTGTTAACATAGTTTAATCTTTGTGATTAGTCCTTTTGTGAGTGAGTGGCCACACTAGATTCCTGCACAGGTTTGTATTTTGTTCAGCGGGAGCATGTAGACTGATAGCTGGACTCTTTGTCTGCCAGCCCCAAATTCTCCCACACCTGGCTCCCCAGAGAGCTTGAAGCCTTTTGGGACTCCCTGAGAAATGGCTTTGTTTTGCTAGCAGCTGTGTGGAGTCACTCATGTAGCATCACTGAGACCACATCTCATAGGCAGGTGGCACAAGGCATGCATGGTAGCTCAGTCTCAGATGGCACAAAATGCAGGTTTATGGGGTGTCTTTGTGACTCCCAACAGAGCCTGGGTTTGTTAAGCACTGCTTACATGACCTACCAGGTGCCCTGGAAAGGCTGTCACTCCATCCTCCCAGTGACAACACACTGTATATAGGGCAAGACACGCCGACATGCACACCTCTTCAGATTGCACAATGGGTCACAAGGCTTGAAGTCAACATGGCAATGGGAACGTGGCTTCCGCACATATGGAGAGATACTGGATGGAAGAGCTTCTGCAACAGCCGAGCCTTTCTCATGCAAGAAAGAGACACTGGGAATTTCAGCATTGCAAGGTGAGCTGGAGTGAGTGTATCACCTAACACTGTGCTTCCTCTTCCTCTTCAGCCTGCAAGTGGGATATGCCCACAGTGCCTGGCAGCCTTTCCTCTGCTGCTTATGCCTTCTCTAAGGATCTCCTTTCCCCATAGCTTGCGCTTTCTCACCAGGGCTCTCATACTGGAGGCAGCCACCTGCCCTAGGGTGTGGAGGAAAAGGGAGCTGCGCCTTTTAGGGCAGAATCTCTTGGCTGTTTCTGTCCCTCTCGGTTAATTAGCCAGGGGAGGCTTCATTCTCTTGAGGTACTGCATCAGATGTGGGCTCTGGGCTCACAGTACATTGTCCTATCCTCTTCTAACTGCAATGAACACTGGAAATTTAAAGTTGATGATAGCATATGATGTCCCATATGTTAGACAAAAGGAAACTCAAAGGCATACCTCACCAGCACTTGCTGATTTTATTAAGATACTGTTAACTTACTACAGCTGAAAAGGTTTAGAAGCCAGTTATTTCAGGATAAATTGCTTTAAGAATCCCAATGTCTTTTAGTGTTTGATGGGAGACTACAGTGACACTGGTAAGAACTAGGATCCTACACAGGGCGTGCCTTACAGAAAGAAAGACTAGTTTAAAAACTTATATATAAGCTCAGTAATAAACAAGTATTGCACTTATGCATATGCACAGGTCTCCTACAAGTGAGATCTATCAGAAGAGAGGTTATGTTCTAAGTAAGAATAACCAGACCAAATAACCTTGCAAATCTGAGCTACTGTCAGTGTTTTTTCCAGGGCATTAAGTACTTCTTGGACTGTTTCTGAATTATTTTCTGAATTTAAGTTTTCTCTGAGTTTGGGTAAAGTTTTTATATATGTAGCAACAAATATCTATACCCCATATCTGTCATGGGGAGGAGCATACAGAGCCCTCCTAGAAGCAATATAATACTCCTTTTTATGCTGATCTAACTTTATTGTCCAAATTTTCTTAAGCCATTTAACTTCTTCTGTCCTAATGTGTTCATATTTGAATTATGGATAAATATATATACCTTTCTCATTATGACCAATGTATTTATCTTATTAAAATAAAGGACATATGGGTCACCAGCAGCAACAATGTGGATCAGGCAAAGTTTCACAGCCACTGCCATTTTAAAGCCTGATTCTTGTGAATGATCATTGGCATTGATATCATGGAGATTGCTATGATGTCTCAATTTCTGACATGAACTTGGACATTTTTGCTTTTATTCAGATGGGCCACCATGTATTATTGCTTTTAATATGCCTGAAGCATCATACTGCTATGAGTCATGTTAGCTGCATCTTCCTGTATTCCTGGGGAGTAGAAGATGGTTGTTTCTAGTAAAGATACTAATTAGAAGTAAACCAGAAGGGCTTGCAGGGAAGCTGGACCCTCCCTTTCTCCTATGTTCAGAAAGCTGATCTGGGGAATCTGAGGGGAAGATGTGCTGAAGCAAGAGGGGCTGATAACATTGCTAGGGCATGATATGAAAAAGCCCATGATATAGGGATGAGACATAAAAAAGAGTCTGTAGGCTGCAGAGGAGCTGGAAAGGATGGAAAAGAGGCTGAAGAGGGTTATCATTGAGAACATTAGAGAAAAGTCAAAAGAAAACACATATTCTAGCTGATCTTTTATTTGTCCTTAGCTATCACTTTAATAAATCTTTGAATAATTAACTTTGATCCAACCCATGTCTTTGAACATCAATGTTAAAATGGCCTAGTCATTGGTTGTAGTTTTAGATTATGTTGATTGTAGTCTTAGACACCATCAGACTAGTCAGGGAAAGGAAAAAAAATATTACAGAAAAAAGCCTCAAATGACACCCAGTTCAAGGCAGAGCAGCTTTGGGTGACCTGCATTTCACCAGTAGCTCACCAGCTGACAGACAGGCCCCAAAATTGCCATAAGCATGGGTATCTAATGGTGGCCTGGCATAGTTTTTCTGTTCCCTGAGCTGCACTAAATGTATCATTTGACCCCTGAGGCTCTGACCCACAGGTTGAGAGTACGTTACTTTCAGGTAGCTATCCTCTGTTCTTTGTCCTTCCCTCTGGTATTCCCCATTTGTCCCAAACATGTCTCAGATGCTTATAAAGCAGCTACTGAACTTCCACAGATCGCAGCTCGGGGTTTCATGGAAAACCCAACTTCGTATTTCTCCCTTAATATGCCTGGGCATGAGCTACCACTGCACAGCCTGTGCCTTGTGAACAGCAGTCCCAAGTCAAGCTGTCCCGTTCATGACCACAGGGGCCTTAGGTGATCCCAAACTGGAATATGGCAGGAAGTTTGTATTCTGCTGGTACTTGCAGCATTGAGTTTTGCATTCTCTGCCACCCTGGTTATCACAAAACAACTTCTTTCTTATTTGAGTGAATCCAAGAGAGGGTTTTTCATTTATATGCTAATAGAGTTTTTGCCCAAGGGTGTTTTGCAGCTTCACGTTGCGACAGGCTGAATCACACCTTAACAACACAGCCAAGTTCTTCAATGTCAGGTTCTCTCAGCATCAGTAACTTTGGAAACAAGTGATTAAAGAGGATATACTGATTACTCAGGGTGGGATTCACCTCACCTAACTTCAGCCATTCAGAAGTTAGGTGTCAAGTATGACTTGGACATTTAGGCTTCTCCAGAAGAATCCAATACAGAGGGGCTTAGTCACTACCTGCTGTTGCCAGACTTGCTTTTTCCTCCATTCAGTACACAGGGAACACAGGCAACCCACTTCATCTAACTAGAAGTCTATACTTTTAGATTACTTCACTTAGGTGAGGCCAAGCCTATCCTAATTGTGTGCTTTGTGAAAAGGCGGTGTTTGCCTCAAAAAGAATAGTCCTTCATAGCGAAAAGCAATTTGAACTTTGAACTAATTTAGGAAATTCAGTACCAGTCCCAGCTTTGAGTCAAACGTACCTTTGGCTGCCCCTGACTTGAGCTTAAAGAACAGGTATTTCATATCTGGAAAGCCTGAGTCAGGAAAGAAGTTAGTTGTTAGGCAACAAGCAACTCTTATTCACCTTCCTAAGGGGTGCTGGAGGTTTCTTCCCCCACCTCATTTCCTTTTGTCTTAAAACCAAAGGTGCAATATGACACACGTAGATGAAAACTGGCTCTCATGCAAAAACCTCACACCCATTAGCTTCCATATATTGCAGAAACAAGACCTGGAGCTGATAACCTTTGTGGGGCACAATTACAAAGAAATTGTAGCTAATGTTCTCGTTCCTCTGTTGTGGTACCGCACCTCTTCTAGGCACTAGAATCAAGGACACAGATAGGCTGTAGCAGAAGAAATGGAAAATGTGTGTGCTTTTGTGTGTACAGTTACTTTGCTCTAAACTGTTTCTGGTCACCATTTTTACAGAAAAAAAAAGGCAGAGTCTAAAAATTTTTTTACAGAAGTGCAAGTGTTCATACTAAGCAAAGCATGGGCCAAAGCATGGGAGAGGCTTGTGGCTATCTTTTGCCTGTTGCTGTAGTTTATTCAATTCTGGTTTCAATTAAGGAATTCCTGTTCCATCAGAAAGTTTCAATATGATGAAGGTGAGAAAGGAAGTTCACAGCAAATCTTTCCCTTGCATTATGTGATGAAATAAATGTGCTTATTTAATTTAAAAAAAAAAAAAAACAAACAGAAAATGTAGGCATAAAATTAAACCTAAGAAATCAAAACTTTTGCAAGGATGGAATACTGCAGGTAAGATGACCAAACTGTCTTAACTTGTTCTCCTTGTAACACCAGCTTTTCATATTGATTCCTCTGTGCATATAAGAAAAGTATGTAATGAGACAGCTAGAAGTGATTGGGTTTGTGTCTGGTTTCTGTCAGTCAAGGTCCTTGTACAACACTCATTGCCACAGCCAGAGTGGCTGTGATTTCATACTTATGCAGGTCTCTAATAGGAAGCACCAGGCTTTGTCATCTTATTAATCTCAAGTCCTTTCATAAGCACTACTTCTAATCATTTGGGAGGACTTTCAATACAAACATATGTGTGCCCAACAATGCTTGCATGATGAATTAGAACATTTAATCACTGAGCTTCCTAGAGGTGTGCAGAACACATGCAGATCCTCATTAGATAAAAAAAAGATCTTAAAATGTACAGAACCAGTCCATTAAATTCCAATAATCTGCTAGTGATGCCCAGCCAGCTAGTGACTTGAATAAATTTGATCAGAAATCTGAATGGTTTTTGTTTCAAAAAATGACAGTTCTGAACTGGGAAATAAAAATAATGAAGGATTAAAATCTCCTAAAATATGACATTATTTTAGTTCGTTGAAATATTTCAAAATCTATCAAGGTGAAATATTTGAATCTCATTTAAATTAGTTTAAGATGCATACTGTATTTAATGTAAAGCCCAGAAATAAGTAAAGCATTTCAAATGGAAAAGTGATACATTGTGGTTTAGGGAGCAACAGAAATGTTGCTTCTCATTTTTATCCCTTCTTTCATTTCTTTTGAAGTAGAACAGTACAATAAAAACACATATGCACAAATCATGATGGAACAGCAGTTTTCAGGGACAAATATTCATTCAGAAGAATTCTTAATATCCTCATACAAAAATGTCTTCTTTCTAAAGATCATCCCCAGATTTTTTTTAATTATTTTTTATTACGGAGGCAATAGTGTGTGGCATTCAGGGTCTTCACACGGAGACAATAGGTAGATATGTCTATTAGGCTATTATTATCATTGCTTTTAGATTATCACTGTAAGGTTGCCTCTCATAGACGATCTCTATCAGATCATCAATCAGGTTATCGCTGTTACTACATTTCCACGAGCCCCCAGGTGGGAAGGATTTGGTCTCTCAGCACGCTCTGCTCAGTCACAAGACCTGCAGATATGAATATTCATACCTTACAACAGATGCACTCTTTGGGCAAGTAACATGGGTGGGAAGTTTTCCTGTTTCAGAAATCATGGAGGGGTGGAGCTCTGACTCAATGCAATAAAACACCTGCTCAGCAACTTCTGACACTCTTCAAGGTTGTGAATTTGTTTCAGGAGGCACTGGCAACGGTGGAGCCTAATACTCAGGTGCCATTTGCAGCCCCTGCTTTTAATGCAGCAGCGATCTCGATGGCGTCGACCTCAGCCTTCCTGCAGGTAAGTGGAAAACAGAACAAGCCTGGCAGGAGTCTCTGAGTATTTGATTCAGATTTCTCCCCAGACTATAAACAAGTCAAGTCCACTGTTAACTATAGGAGATAAATCTCCAAGAAAACAAGATTGTCCTTCCTTGGCTATTTGCAGCTACAAGGACCTGGAGTTGGTATCTTTCCATATAGCACAGAAAAGAGCTGGCACTTTCCCGGCACATTCATTTTATCTACCACAAGCAATGAGGAGGTTTCAATTGCCCAACCCACACTGCAACTCTACTTGGAGGAGTTGAAGTAAGTAGACAAATTGGTCTTTACTCTCTTTTTCATCCCTTGTTTTCCCTCCCTCAATAGCATTCAAGCAGCAAATCAAGCCATTTGGAAAATGAAGAAAGAAAATGGATGATGCACTACGTAGGCCGGAGCAACATTGATGCTAAGGTACCAACTTCGGCAAACTAAAAATAGGTGGGACTAGACTAATATTTTTTTGAGAAGGGTAGGATCTTTTTTTTTTTTTTTCCAAATTTTGTTATTAAAGATTCCCATGCTTATTTAGAAATAGGAACATTTCATGAAAGAAAATTTTCATAAAGTGAAACATCTGCATTCCATTATGTCTTTTATTCCATTCCTTTATCTATTTACACAAAATGTATTATTTTCATGGGTTTATTCCTTAGAGAAATTCCTTAGGGAAAATATTCTCAATTTACTGTTACGATGGGCCTGACTTTGGCCACCTTTTAACACTATCTCTCTCTATTGACTTTAATGAAGTTTTAGCCCAGCATGAATGAAGAAATTTGCCAGTGTTGGAAAGTCAGAGCATGGTTACTGGCAAATCTTTGGGTTTTGGTCATTAGTGCCAGTTTCCAGAACAAATGCCCCCTTTGACCCCTGTGCAACTCATCGCAGCAAAAGAAGAACAGCTCTAGCAACCTTTGCAGGGCCTGTGACAGATATACTTGCATCAAACATGTACCAGTTATATCAGATTTTTTTCTCCGCTCTCAGTTAGCTTGCAGCTAACTACACTTTGTGTCAAGTTGCCTTAAAGTATAACGGGGGGGGGGGCCTCCAAACTAAAAGCTAACTTAATTTTGATGATATCTTAAATGGTGTGTGATTCTAGTGTCTACAGCTTATAGGAAACCTGTATTTTTAATTTCTTGTTTGTGCAACCAGACTTCCAAATCAATAGAAAGCTGCAGACATCGTTTCGCTTATGTATGTCATAACCTTATCAAACTGATTGATCAAGCTGATCTCTTGTTAGTAGCATTCTGGCAGCTCCTACAGATGGAAATTAATGAACAAAAAGGGCAACAAACTATCAGTGGGATGCGAAACGATGTAAATGGCAAAGTAGCACAACCAAAACTGACATGGCATTTAGGTATTCATAATTTGCTCTGTGTGTATGTGTGTGTGCTAAAGCTCAGCAAGGGAATGTAATAAAGCAGGAAAAGCAGCTATTGGGGAGTGCAATGACCCAGTCTCCGTAGTATTTTTGTAATGATTTACTGTATTTATACTGAAGTTGGGTTTTGGTTTAGGATATCCATGGCTAAAAGCATCCAACCCTTCTTTACGACTAAGGTAGTTGCATGTATATAAAGATTGTTAGAATCCAGCACGTTTTTGAATGTATGTAAAGTAATACAAAAAAATCCTGTGGCTGTAAACCACTGCATATAGGGACTATGGGACCCCTTCCACAGCTTTAATTTGTTGTTCTTGTCGTAATTTCTCCTTATCAAATGAACCTCCAAAAGTTCTGTTTGCTATCCACAGGTATTTAACAGCCAAGACATTGTCAGACATTCTTTATTTGCCTCCTGGCTTTTGAATACGTCTTCTCTCCTCTGTAATAAAGCTTGGCAGGAAACTGGTATTAAAGGCACAGAGTTGTGCAAGCTGGCCAGTTTCTGCCTCTCACTGGCATCAGGTTCCCTGGGAAGCTTTCAGTAATTCCCTTGATTTTTGCAAGTCATAGCTTGCCATCTGCAACAGGAGGATAATCATTAGTAGAGAGGTGTTATAAAGGATAACATGCTTATAGCAGATCTCAAGTCCCAGGACAAGTAAACAGGTGCAAGGCTTTCCTTAACACAAATGCTCAAATATTTGACCAAGTACTTGCTTCAGTTTGAGCAGACTTTGCACAGCTGTGTGATAAACTGAATAGTTACTGGATTTGGTTTAGAAAAACGTGCCCAGGCACTATGCATGGAATTTAGCTGTGCAGAGCTAAATATGCCCCACTGCTAAATTTTCAAGAAAATATAGCAACCTTGTGAAAACTCCTTCATATTTTAAAATGGACAGGAGCATCAAGAGAGCGTCTCTTCAGCTGTTTCAGGGAGTCTTGAGTTGACAGTTTGCCTTCTAGCACCTTCCACATGGGTACAGGGAAGATGAACCATACTGAAGGAAGACCATAAGTAGTTGTGAGTAAGGTAGTCCATAAATGTAGAAAACTTATCTCTGGATATTATTTGTTAGTGCATTGTCATGTATAGAATAATTTGTTATTTCCCAAAACAATAGTTAGAAAAAAGGTTTTTTCCTTGGCAAATTATAAGCTTAAAAAAATAGTTGTTGGCTCATCATCTCTGAATGCACCAAGAACTTATATACAATAATGCAAAGGTCAAGAAACTAGGAAACTTAATCTAAGCTCAAGATTAGTAGCTTTAACATAGGGTGGGGAGGCTCACCAAAGTTTTCTGCTGGACACGAAATCAGAAACCAGAGAAGAACTAGGAGAATTTCAATCAGTTTTTGGTTTATGTAAGTGATACACATAAAGTGACACACATTCCTTAATGGTTTGCCACAAAACTAGAAAAAGCCATGACATTACCAAGTGCCTTGTCACCCTTCCCTCTTAAAAAAAGTATCTGTGACTGAAGTGTGTGGTACAAGGTTACCTTCTGCAGGGGTAACAAGGAGCCTTTAAGAAAGGCTACTCAGTCTGACCATCACTCGTCATTGTAGGGATAAGTTCAGAGGTTCAGGGTACACAGATTTTTCTTTGTTAGAGGGGACTGCAAGAGGATTTGCTCATCTGTGTACTGTGGATTCTCAAATTTTGGTAATACTTTCTTTATTCTAGGTATCAGAAATTACTCCTGGCTTATTATGGAATGCAAATTATGTGCTGAATATGGCTGTTTATAATAATTAGTCACCCATGGATTGTTTTATTACCAACTCCCTGAACTAACCATTTTTTTTAATGTAACAAAAATTACAATCATCAGCAGCAACACACTTGCTTTTTAGTTTATTAGCATTGTTCAATGTATTATTGCAATGAAATGATGGCTAGAGGGAAAAGTCAATTAGTTGCATGACTTCCATTGATGCACCCCAGGAGCTTAAGCTTCAGTTATAAGAAGATGTTATTTTGCTCTTTGAATTTGCTGGAGTAGATTTCATGTCTGGCTTTTGGCCATCGGAAAAGTATTGTATGAAGTAATTTTTCATTAATTGCCTTCTCTAAGGAGGATAAGTCTCCTTTTCATTTGTCTTGGAGATTTGCTTTATAGTTAATGGTTTGCTTAATAGCAATTCTCTTCAAAGGCATTGGTGCCTCAAATTATTACGGTGGTGATAATCACTGAATATTGTTTCTTTGTTGATGCCATAAGGGGGGGAGGAAAATGTTTTCTAGAACATTTTTTGAAGGTTTTTTCTGAAGGACTTTGGTTTGGATGATACGGCCATCTGAGCATTACACTGAGAGAAAGCGAGAGGGGTGCAGAGTACAAACTGGTTCTGAGTGCTGTGAAAACCCTTCTCTAACTGGTAAAAATATTGAGAATATGGAGAGAAAACTAGCATTTTCATTATTCCTTCAAATTTAAAGTAATCATTGTTCTTAGAGGCAGGCTAATACCAGAAGGGATTTTGCTAATCAACCATGCTGACCCGATGAAGGCTCAGGCTGAGGGAAGCTCAGCGTGACTTGCTTGGATGCATGTTCTCTGCCACCAAGCAGACTTACTGAATGCATCTCTCGGGTTCACATCACGAGCTGTTTCCTCTGTTGTTAATTCCTTGAGTGTCCTCTTCCATCCACTCTTCTTGTGGTCTTTGTTCCACAGCTGAGTGCCGGGAGTGTTCTGCCTGACATAGCCTGTATCTTGCTGTCTCACAGGACTCCGATTTCTCAGGCAATACAGTGAGATTTTTCTCCTGGTACACAGTTTCCATGCTCCCTGGTTTTTCTTCTTACACAGCCCTTACTCAGAGCTCTCATCCTGGAGGTGAGAAATAATTCTTGCTTCTCATTCAACCAAATTTCTAATCTGTACATTATGGCTGATGGGGTACTCCACCCAATTGTTCCCTTGGCAAGCTCTTCAAATTTAAATAAATTGCTCTTTGCATCCAGCCACCTTTCTGTGACACCAAATATCCCCACCCACACCCAATTTCTCACTGTCATTCCACATGAAATTAGGTGCTTGAACCTTGAACCTTGCAAAATCTTTGACATTATCTAATCTGTGTAGTATCTTACTGTTCTTCATGGAAACACTGGGTATGTTCTATTGTTTGGGTTGGGTTTTTTTTCCTTCCTAATATAGCCCTCCCATACTCAAACTGATAAGAGATTATCAGTTTGTCTTCATCTGCATGCAAAGTATGAGGTTCTTGGGATGCATTCTTCACACATCCTCTACTCTAGTCTGCTGCAATGGCATTCGGGAACGAGCACACAAACAGTGCTCAGTGTAAAGGTGTCTTGGTGGAACCCATGCTTGTTTCTGTTTCTGTCATTCTGCTTCTTACAAGGTCATGGTATTTCATACACATCTCTCGAGAATCTTTAAAAATGTGTGTTCCAAAGTGCTGGCTGAAGGACTGGTGCTGTTAAAGAAGGTTAAGAGAGGCAACACTAAATGCAATTCCTTTAACTCTTTCCTTTACTTCTCCTGAAATACATCTGCTGAAATTTGTATGTATTTATCTAATTTGAGTACTATTTTTGAAAAAGTTGTAGAAAGAAATGGACAAACTCAATGAGTTCTTTAAGAACAAAACAGGTTGAGGTAAGAAGACACAGATTTATTCCTCATTGATGAAAAAGGAGTGGTCTAAAAATAATGGTTTAAACAATAGTTTGGACCTGGCTCAGCCAGACCCTGACAATGCTGGGATCTTACTCCCCTGTTTAGAGCAAACAAGCCCTATAAAATATCCTGTCCCAAACGTAAAACTTTAAGCAACAGTGATTAATTTCCTGCTTAGTTTTGGAATACACCCACCCAGAACCCAAGGACTTCTACCCCTTGTAGCCTGATAAAGGGAAAGCATTTGTTGAGTACTTATAGCCCTCTTGTTGGTTTGGGTGTGCTGCTTCTGCACCTCACAGCAAAAAGTATTGGCATTTTAACTAGTCAACTTACTGAAAACATTTTGACGTTACACTTCCTGGTTATAAGCTTGAGCTCATGGGCAAAGCTTTATGGTTATTTTAATCACTGGTTAACTTGTACTTAACATGTCTTTGAATTATCCAACATTTTCTCAAAAATTCATACTTGCCATTTCATTGGAGTACTTTGTAGCTTGAGAATTACTGCAATTTTTTGCAAATTCTTTTTATGACCTTCATGTCATCCTCGTAGAGATGGAAATGACTTGGGAGGTTAAACTAAATTTTGTCATGATAAATTCCCTGTGGTCCAATGCTTTAGCTGATGTACTGTCTTGTCTCACTGGTTTCTTATACTTTGACCTTTTTAGCAGTCTCTGGCTTTAGTCACAACAGCAGCACCTGTGAATGAGCTTTCTCTTATTTCATTCGAGTTTCTCTCTGTTATTTTAATTGAAGCTTCTCAGAAAATAGATAACATCTAACTATTTCACCATCTTCCACCAGCAACTCCTCCATTTTCACTTCAAATAATTTTTTCAAGCGTTTGGTCATTAGCTTTCACAACAGCTTCTTATTTTGGCCACCTTTTGTTGTTGTTTCTTCAGGTGACTTTACTGAGAATTACTGATCTATTTGCCTTCTGCCATTATCTCAGCCCCTCCTTGAGCTCTTCCTGAATATCGGTGACTACCATCAGGCCTCCACATCACTGAAGTGGCCACCTATTGCTTGACCCTGATAACATACTGTGCCTTCAGTATAATTTGACTGAATATATTTCTGCAAATCTACAAGCATTATCATAATTAATCTGGCCATTTTATATTTTCCACAGACCCTTGCTATTAGAACGGCAAACTAACACTTCCCTATTCCCAAATCTACCTCATTTTAATGCTGTAACATTTTGGTTTTATTGGTTCTTACTCAGAAGTCCTTTAAAAAATCATTGTTATTCCATAACCTGACTTTCTCAAGCTCACTTTTTAATATATATGTTATACTATCTATATCTTCGCCTCTTACTGGAGAGATTCAGAATCTGCTGATAACACCTTTGTATGCATTCAGCCATCAGGATCTGACAGACTTTGAAAGAGCATTTTCTTTCCAGTGCAGACCCTCATCTTCTGGACTAGATGACCTCTAAAGGTCCCTTCCAACCCAAAACATTTTATGATTGATTCTATGATTCACTGCAGTCTTAATGCATTACCCCAACTATTTAACGAGACCTGTTCCTATTATAATCATACATTAGCTTGGGAATTTATTATTCAGTGTAGTCTGAAATTTCTGAAATTCCTCCTTTTCCTCTGCTTCTGTTCCTAAACTATGATACAGGTAGTCATTCCCAGTGCCGATTCACTCTTCTAATTCAGACTCTTATGTACAACTATGGTGCAACTCTCTTTCCTTTCTATAAACTTCAGCTATTTTGACAAATCTTCTACAACTGTTCCCACAGTCAGGGAATCCAGACAGCCTTCTGTGCTGCAGCCATAGTAAGCTTAGCCCATTTTCTGGATCTTTCTGCCGATACTCTAGTTGCTTTAGCTGCTGCTGCTGGACATGATGGACATGTTCTCTGAAGTTGTGAAATCCCTAAAGCATGTGTGATTGGCACAACTTTGACAGACCCAGTTGGTCAGGCCTGGCATCTTCAACATGGAATTGGTTATAGCTTTCTCTGAAATGGATTGTAGTCAAAACCATGTACTACTCCACACCTATCAATCAGATAGCCACATTTGGTAAGGAAAACTTCTAGCTAGGAGTGTTTTTCCAAAGCTGTGTATTGCCCGGGCAACCTGAGACATTCCCTAAGGTGCTAATACTAATCCTTAGACACTCCTCCATTATGAAAATTATTCTTTTAAAAACAAGTGAAAAAACAAAAATGGTCCCTCTTTTTTCAACCAAAATTGGAGTGTTTCCGATTTGTGATTCACTGAATTTTGTGTTGTTGTACTGGATGCTGATGACCGCATGTATGATTTAATGTAGCTGGCTAACTGAACCTTCTCAGCTTATTTACCTCCTGTCTCCACTTTCCTATTCATCCTCTCCTTCCATGCTTTCTGTTTGTGTGCTTAGATGACTGCAGACTGTAGGGGTTGATGAAGTTTGTGGAGAAAGTGCATTTTGCTCCCTATTGTATTTTTGCTGTGATGCCAACTGGAAGAGATGGCTTCGGCAGAACCTGGGTTCATTTCAGTGTTTGGTTGTCATTACAATAAATACATGTATCCCAAACTTTAAAGCACATCTCCTTTGTT